GCCAGCCCTCTCCGCATGCACCTCCGCACCTTTGTATTTTACTTCCGCACCGCACCTCCTCTGAGTCTCGGTATGCTTTTCTCTTTCCTTCTAGTTGTAGAATTTCCACTCAGCCAGCCTTCCTGTGGTTCTGGATGATGTCCCTTATGTCTTTTAGTTGTATTTTTGAAGTGGTTGTGCGAGGCAGCAATCTCCGGTGTTTACCTATGCCGCCATCTTGGTTTCTCCTATAATCATTTTTAAATTATGTAAACCTCTGTACATGGCAGAATTTTACTATGCTTCTCATGAAATTGTGTTACTTTGTAATGAGAAAAAGTGTTACCTTTTTAGTAAATTTATATGGTATTGGAGGCAATTAGAATGTTTTATTTTTTTATATTGCCTTGTACTACATCATCTGAATACTTTAAAGGCATAACTAAAAATTTAGTCATGAGAACTTGGTCTCTTTAATGGTCTTTTTTTTTTCTTTCTTAATTTCATTCCTCTTTACAATATGGTACTCTGAAAAAGTAAAACAAATCACAAAAGAATCTATAAGCAGAGAAGAAGAAAGATACTTGGCAAGATCTTTATGGAATGCTGAAATGGATGTTGGTCTCAGAACTTTCCTGAAAGTGATTGATGAGTGGTGACATGAACTATAAATGCCTGTAAAACATAAGTATACATAATGATAAAAACTTGGAATTAGAGGACATTGAGGAAGTACTTTGAATAGCTATATTCTGAGAGATTTTTATTTTTTTATGCCTTTTTGGCATTAAGATATTTTTATGAATGCCATAATAAAACTATGGTGAATGAGTTTGAATGCTTTCTTGTTTGACAAAATAAATAGTTGGCAATTTTATATCAACTCCCTTTTTTTGTTTTTTAATTGACAGGTCTAAGAAATTTTAAAATCTTAGACTTATTTCTTCATAAACAGTTGATCTTTAAAATGCTGTCTATTAATTATGATCAGCTATGTTTATTTGTTGCTTGTTTAATGTTTCTATGGTGAATATAAATAATAGTCCATAATTATATAATAACTTTAATAATAGGTTTTTCTTAAAATTACTCTGGGGATGAGGTTGCGTTTTTAGCCAGCATTTTTTAAAATCCTAGTAATTTCTTAATGAATAGTAAGAATTTCTTAAAGAAATTTTTTCTTAATTATAAAAATAAAAACTTGAAAATATTAAAATTATTCCATAGTTTCTTGGCCCAGAATTAGCCACTGTTACTTATTGAGTCTTATTTTCTCTCCATATGTATGCATGCACATATATGCAGGCTTTGTATATAATACTTCTACATAGTATTCATTAGTTTCTGCTCAGACTTGTCAATACACACACAAACACACACAGTATTATAGTTTGCTTTTCCCCCCTATTCAACTCTTTCTGGAAAGTTTTTCAATATCTTTAAATTTTCTTCACAAATAGAGCTACTAAATGGCTTTATTCTTGTATTCCAATTAAGATATACCTGAACCATCTAAAGCAGAAATTGACAAACTTTTTCTTTAAAGGCTAGAAAGTAAATACTTCTGGTTTTATATGCCATATTGTTCTATTGCAGCTACTCAGTTCTGCCTTTAAGCACAAAAGCAACCTTACACATTACAAAAACAAACGAGCATCACTGTGTTCCAGCAGTACCAACAGATATAGGCTGTAAAGTTTTCCAGTCCTTGAGCTAAAGACTTCCTAAGCCTATTTTTTGTATTTTATAGAAAAAAAGCGACAGTTTGAAATGAAAAGGAAGCTTCACTACAATGAAGGACTGAATATGAAATTAGCTAGGCAATTAATTTCAAAAGACCTACATGAAGATGATGAAGATGAAGAAATGTTAGAGAGTGCAACTGGGGAAAGTATGCATATGGAAGAATCAAATCAAGGTTAGATGTTTAAGAAATATTCCTGAGACTCTTGTAATCCTTTGTGCCTAATAGACTTTATTTTGCTTTAAACTTGAAGAACCTCAGAATATTTTGCTGGCATTCAATTATGCCAAAAGTTTCTAAAATTTAAACACCTGTGGCCAATCTCAAAATAATAAAGTTTTTTATGCCAAGAGTTGATTTAAGACCATATTTTATATATTAATGTGTTTTGGTTTACTTGATTTTAAACAATGATGTTTGTCTTCATATTAAGCTGTATTTTGTTTTTAATGTTTTAGATCCTGTTTGATATTTCATAATCTAAATTAAGGTTTAAACTTTAAAAGAAATGTTTTTAATATGGAAGATTTGATTTAATATCCCTTTGGGTACAAATTGTATGATATGTTTTCAGTGTTGATTCTTTTGACTGTTGGATTGACAGGTTATTTGGCTAATTGGTTTTGGTTTTTTGGGGTTTTTTTTTTAAATATATTTTATTGATTTTTTACAGAGAAGAAGGGAGAGGGATAGAGAGTTAGAAACATCGATGAGAGAGATCGATCAGCTGCCTCCTGCACGCCCCCCACTGGGGATGTGCCCGCAACCAGGGTACATGCCCTTGACCGGAATCGAACCCGGGACCCTTGAGTCCGCAGGCCGACGCTCTATCCACTGAGCCAAACTGGTTCGGCTGGCTAATTGGTTTTTTATAAATCCTCACCTGAGGATATTTTTTCCATTGGTTTTTTTAGAGAGAGTGGAAGGGGGCAGAGGGAGAGAGAGAAACATCATGTGTCTCTCAATTGGTTGCCCCTTGCACATGCTCTGAACCGGGGCCAGGAATGGAACCTACAATCCAGGTACATGCCCTTGACCAGGAATTGAACCCTTGACCCTTCAGTGCTCAGGCTGACTAACCATTGAGCAACACAGGCCAGGGCTTGTTTTGTTTTTTTAAGTCTCAGACAGTCTGCCCCTGCAGCCTACCAACTCTTGATCAGTCATAGGAAATAGTTTTATTTATTTATTTTTAACAAGCTGTTATTTTGGTATTCCATGAAGGTGAATCTTCTACACCACTAATACAGATGTTGTGCCTGTTTAACCTACTCTTTGTAGTTGCAAACATACTTTTCAGTAGAGATGTAACTTTATTTGTTGTGCTTTGGATGGCTAAGTCTTAGGAAAGTAAATTATTATATTGTTTTGGTGAGCATATGTGAAATATCAGTTTTCTGTGATAGAATCTGATAACTGTGTCTCATAATAAAAATATTATTACAGTATTTTTTGATATTCCATATTAGGCTTTATTTAGCCTTTTGTATAGTTTGTTTTCTGTTTCGTTTTTTAATTTTTATTTATTGATGTTAGAGAAAGAGAGGAATGGAGAGAGACGGAGGAAAAAAACACATCAATTTGTTGTCTCACTTATTTTTGACCTGGGATCAAACCTGAAACCTTGGCATATCGGGATGGTGCCCTAACCAACTGAGCTATTCAGCCAGGGTGATACAGTTTACTTTATTTTGCATTTCATTTCCATTTTATACACTATAACCTGTTTAGCTTATATTTAACTTGAACAGACTTTATTTTGAATAATTGTTATATGTCTTTTTTAAAATTTATTACCCATTTTTAGTTGGCCTGTCTCCTAATTGTTCTTTGTTTCCCATTTACCACCTATATCTTAGTGATTTATTTTGATGTATTAAAAATGAATGTTTCTTTGGTTATGAGTTTTCATCAGTTTCTGCTCAGACTTTCAATATCAATTCTTAATAACTCTGGTCAAACACTGTGAATACTTACCTTATTTGCCTCTGGGAATTTGCACCAGCAACACTGTGCCAAAGGTTAAAGGGATTTCTTTTTTTAAACCACAGCTTTTGAAAATAGCTCTTTTTGTCTTTCTATTTGTAAGATATTAGATTTCACACATACAGTACATAAGTATATTTTATCATTTAAAGATAATGATTAAAATTTGTATTAGCTCAATGCTTGGTTTTTCTTCAGTGGAGATGGAGTACTACTTACATAGGAATATATTCTATCTAGCTTCATAAAGTATACAAAGATAGAAAAGACTACAAATAAAACAGGGAAGAAAGTTCTTTATCCTCTACCCTTTTTGTTTTAAAAAATAATCTTATCAGCTTTTAAAATCTCCAGGTTTTATAGAACCCATTACTTTTTTAGCGTTATTCTTCTCCTCCCTCTCCCCTGACCTCTGTTTTATTGTTGTTTTTATTTTTTTTTAAAGTAGCATATTTAGAATCTGAAGAAATATTTTATAATTTTGATAACATAAATGCCAATCTTTTTATAGCATTGGGTATTTGAGTTATAATTAACTCAGCTATCCACCTGTGATTTACTCACAGAAATGTTAGTCTGAAACCTTTTTGTCTTATCACCAAGTCGACACTCCAGTTCTGCTCTTTAGAATATTTAGGGGGTATGCAGATTCTTTCATATCAGACTATTTTACCTATGTGAAATATACCATATTTGTTTTTTAGATCTTTTATTTGTTAATCATCAGTGGTGGTGGAAGGGAACTTTAGCTCAGGGAGTTCCCAGGTTGAGAATATACAATAAACAAATTATGTTTTTCTTTTATCTTTGCAGGATCTACTACAGGTGACCAACTGCAAAACAAATCACAAAGTTCATAGAAGAGATTTGTTCAACACTCATTGTTGATACAGACCCTGTTGCTATACTTTACTGCTCTTGTTCTCTACAATTCATGACTTAAGTACCAAAATGCATACCAATGTTGCCAAGAATTAAATAACTTTAGAGACTAATTAGACTTGAAAATGCCTAATTGATATATATATATATATATTCTTGTGCCTAGTACTTCACCACAAATACAGCATAATATCATCAGTCCAAAACTGCATTACTTTTTTAAGAACACTGGTTAATTTGTATAAGATATTACATAGCTTTTTATGCTTTAGAGGTTAAATAATATCTTGGGAAGGGGGAGGGGATTTAATTTATTTTCTTCACTTCTAGATGTGATAGCTCGTATAAAATTTTTTTAAGTCAAAATCCAATTGGAACAACAGATTATATAGGCTGATAAATATTCAATCTGAAAAGTATTTTAACACATTTCAACTTGATTTTTCTCTTTAAATAAAAAAGATTACAAGAATTACTATTGCATTTTCTGGCCTACTACCTTTAAAATTCCTTTTGAGTTTGTTTATGTTTTCGGGAAAGGATTAAACATTTTCCTCACCAAAACTAGCTTTATTCACAAATAAATTACCAGGTTAAACTTGCACTAATGTCTGCTCTTTTTTTGTACACTTGATTGGCAGACTTCAGATCAGTTTTTTTAACAAATATAATTCTAATATAGTTTCAGCATTCCCTTTATATGTCTGTCCTAACCACCTGCCTTTGTTTCATACTCCTTTCCACATATATGCACACAATAACTCTTTACCTTTATAAAGGACTAAAGGCCTGGTACACAAATTCGTGCACCAGTGGGGTCCCTCGGCCTGGCCTATAGGGATTGGGCCAAAACTGGCAGTCCGACCCCCCGAGGGGTCCCAGATTGCGAGAGGGCACAGCAGTGCACGAATCCATGCACCAGGTCTCTAGTATGCATATAAGATCTTTGGTTAATCTCTTTCCGCCTTCCCCACTGCTCCTTCCCCTCTGAGATTCATTAGTCTGTTCCATGTGTCTATGCCTGTGTGTTGAGCATCTGCCCCCTGGTGGTCAGTGCGCATCATAGCAACCGGTCGACCAGTCGCCTGGGCTTTTATATATATAGATCATAAAGATTGCTGTAACATTAGGAACTCTTCCTTCTCTCACATATTCTATCATTTGTTGTAACAATGAAAATCTTATTTTGACTATCAATGCCTTTTTTTTTCTTCTAATATGTGGAGAAAATGGATTTAATAGCAGCAGTACTATAGACAAGAAATACAATTCAACTGCAGAATTTCTACACCGCTCTGATTTACAGCCTGCTAATTAATTTGCTATTACTAGTTTATTGTTTGACTTAAATAGACCTTAGGAAATAACTGAAGTTTTGTTTTTTTTTTGCATGATGAGAGAATGATGTGTAACTAGTGATATGAAGTTAGTTCCTAAATGTATAGATAAGTAATATGAACACTTTTTGATTTAAAACTTTACTCTCTGCTTTAAGGGAATATGATAATGTATACTATGACAAATGTATTTTATTCTTCTAACACAGTAAGATTGAGATTTTTACCCCCTGAAATGAAGTGCAGTTCCTGTGTTTCTTGGTTTAATGATAGTTTCATTTTTAGTCAATTATTTGTATCTTAATTTTTTGTTAGTGCCCAAAGAATCCATTATATGAACAGACTTTTAAATAATTTCTGTATATTGTACATATGAAATGGCTTTTATTGAACAGCTTATCTTCCACTTACAAGTTTATGGAAATACCAATATGTCAAATAAATAAAAAGTGGGAGAGCCCTGGCCAGTGTGGTCAGTTGGTTGAGCGTCATCCGAAAGGTCACCTTGTTCGATTCCCAGTCAGGGCACATACCTAGGTTACAGGTTCGATCTCTGGTCAGGGTGCTTATGGGAAGCAACTGATCAATGTTTCTCACATCAGTGTTTCTCTCCCTCTCTCTAAAAGATCAATAAAAACATTTTTTAAAAAGTGGGAACATTATTTGCTGTTAGAAGAATGTTTTTGTTATTTTGAATATCTTTCTAAAATGGAATCCAATCAAAGCACTTCTGAACTGCAGATATAGTATTCTAACTATAACATGTTAGCTAATAGTAGCACCAAACTATTTCTTGAAACTTCAGTCACAGGCAAACTCATTTCTCGTTTTTTAAGAAATGCAGAGCCCTAGCTGGTTTGGCTCAGTGGATAGAGCGTCAGCCGTGGACTGAGGGTCCCAGGTTTGATTCCAGTCAAGGGCACATGCCTGGGTTGCAGGCTCAATCCCCATGCAGGGGGCATGCAGGTGGCAGCTGATCAAGATTCTCATTATTGATGCTTCCATCCCCCTCCTCCCTTCCTCTCTGAAATCAATAAAAAAATTTTTAAAAAAATAAATGTAGATAGTTATCTCAGGAAAGTAAGACATGGCAAGTAGCATGCCCAGTAGGATTTTAGAAGTCGAATGTAACTAAGTAAAACTGTTTTTATCAAATCATGAGTTTCTAATTAACATGGTATTGGACTATATAAAAAATGAACCTTTATGATTCAAGTTATATTTTCTCTTTGGAAAAAGTTACCAATGTTCTAGCCAAGGGAGATTTTACATTCAACTTTTTAATCAATATTACTTCCTCTGCTTAACTCTTGTGGTGTCATTATTTCTACTCATTCATTGTTTAGTCTGAAATTCAGCAGTGATGTTCTTTAAAATTTAATAATAAGATGGTGTAAATGGATTATTAAAGAATAACTTTAGCCGAAACAGGTTTGGCTCAGTGGATAGAGCGTCGGCCTGCAGACTGAAAGGTCCCAGGTTCGATTCCGGTCAAGGGCATGTACCTTGGTTGCGGGCACATCCCCAGTGGGAGATGTGCAGGAGGCAGCTGATCGATGTTTCTAACTCTCTGTCTCTCTCCCTTCCTCTCTAAAAAATCAATAAAATATATTTAAAAAAAAAAAAAGAAAAACTTTAAATTGAAGATTAAGGAGAAGTGCCATTTTTCCCTAGACTTTAATTTTGTTTACATTTTTCCTCTTAAATTGGTACACTGAATATCCCAATATATAAAAACCCAAAGTCCGTAACGTCTAAAATGACTGAAGCCTCAACCAAATGCCAGGCTGTGTGCAGCAGGCTCCCGTGGGTGGGGACTGGTGAGCGGGCTGAACTGACCTCTTGGGGAGAGAGAGAGGCGGGGCTGATCAGCAGACCTTGCCAGCAGCCTCGCCTCTCACTCTCTGAGAGATTAGCAGTTCAGCCCTCTCGCCAGCAGTCTGGGGTGGCTATTGATCAGCCCTGCCTCTCTGATCAGGCCTGGAGATAGGCCCAGAAACACTGACTGGCATAAAAAATGACCAGTCAGAACCAATCTGGGTGAAATGCAAGGAGCATGGCTGCCTAGGAGGCAAAGCTTTTGATGCTGACTGGCATAGAAACCGACCAATCAGAACTAAATCTGGGTGAACGAGGAGCCAATGGCTGCCTAGGAGGCGGAGCTTTTGACACTGACTTGGCATAGAAACTGACCAATCAGAACCAAATCTGGGTGAACTGCGAGGAGCCAATGGTTGCCTAGGAGGCAGAGCTTTTGATGCTGACTGGCATAGAAACCGACCAATCAGAACTAAATCTGGGTGAACGAGGAGCCAATGGCTGCCTAGGAGGCGGAGCTTTTGACACTGACTTGGCATAGAAACTGACCAATCAGAACCAAATCTGGGTGAACTGCGAGGAGCCAATGGTTGCCTAGGAGGCAGAGCTTTTGATGCTGACTGGCATAGAAACCGACCAATCAGAACTAAATCTGGGTGAACGAGGAGCCAATGGCTGCCTAGGAGGCGGAGCTTTTGACACTGACTTGGCATAGAAACTGACCAATCAGAACCAAATCTGGGTGAACTGCGAGGAGCCAATGGTTGCCTAGGAGGCAGAGCTTTTGATGCTGACTGGCATAGAAACCGACCAATCAGAACTAAATCTGGGTGAACGAGGAGCCAATGGCTGCCTAGGAGGCGGAGCTTTTGACACTGACTTGGCATAGAAACTGACCAATCAGAACCAAATCTGGGTGAACTGCGAGGAGCCAATGGTTGCCTAGGAGGCAGAGCTTTTGATGCTGACTGGCATAGAAACCGACCCCCTACTTTGCCTCGTGGCATCTGCTATAAAATAAAGACAGGGCTTGTGGGCGCTGGCGTTGTCTCCTCTTCAGGGAGCAGCGTCCCACCGAGACCCAGCTATTGTCTTGTCTGTCTTTCCTTCATCCTTTCACCCCCCCACTCAGAGACACCTTTGGCCGTGCTGGGGCGGCACAGTCCACATTGAATGAAGCGATCTCATTGGTGGAAACCGTGCAGGTCAATCTACGAAAAACTATATAATTGCACGAACCCATAAAGCATTGCAGTTACAT